ATCTACGCCTCCTGAGAATCATCGGCAACTACACGGACAGTGCGGATTTGAGGGTGACGCCCGTGCCTCTACTCCGGGCTCTTGAGGGGCGCTGCCCGAGGCTGGCAGTATTGGAAGCCGATATCTTCTGCCGACATGACGTTATGAATGAACTCAGGGGCTTCGTTGATGGCTGCTCTCAACTGAGACAACTCGACGTCTTATGTTATCATGATAGTGTGGGCCCATGTAAGAATCAGAAATTCGCTGGTGAATTCATCAGCCTGTTGGCCTCAGGTACCGTAGTGGATATTCTTCCGAGTGCGTCATCTCACCCTTCTCTGAGTCGTATCGGTCTAGTCGGGTGTATGTCACATATCATTGGTGTTGATACGAGGTCCATCTTGACGAGAGCTCTCTGTCGACCCGAACTGTTGACACATATCATCTTGCGTGGAATGATCCTCAAGGGCACGACTGATGACATATGTGCGGTAGCGTCGCTCCCCCACAGATTGCCCAACCTGGTCCACTGGGCCGTACGAGTGAATATGTTGTGTTTTCCCTTGAGTCGAATTATTGACGAAAGAGAGGCGACCCCATTAATGCTGTGGAACTTGAGACTAGCCGGTGTGGTGAGCACGTGTATCGATTGTGAAGGTATTAGACCCGACAGATTGCGTACCACGTCCCTACCCTGGCTCGACTTCCTGCCATACACCCATCTGGCCAGCAAAGCTGAACAAGGGAGCCTCAAAGGTGTCGATGTATTCCGAGCTGAGTTCGGTCAGTTTCTCTCTGACGTGTCCTTCGAAACGCGGAAAACTGACGTTTGGGAGAACACCATACGGCCGATGGTCACCGAGACTCTGAAGGCCCATTTACGAAGGCGGTCTAAGATGAGGAGTGACAATAAGCGATGACATTTCGAGTATCATTTCGTACGCGTGTGCTGTGTTTCGTGAGTATTGTGTTCTTCTTCCACTGGGAGTTAACGCAAGAGTACAATTCCAAAGCAAATGTAGGCACTAGCATAGTGAATAATAAATCGATAGGAACAGTAAGATGGCATTCAATCGATATCGCCAGGAGTCTGTGGCGTATCATTCGCTATGATAGTAGCATTGGAGACTGAGCCAGTGGAGGGAGGCGAACTGGCAGTATCGGCCGCTGTAGGAGACTCCAATGGGTCCTCGATCGACGCTCTAAAATATAACACATGTCTACAGTGAAAAAATAGAAGTGCGTTTTCCTCAACTGAGCTCAGGGGTTGCCTCATTAACGATATGAGTCTATACACAAATTCGGGTAGAAACCAGTGAGAGTTTCCTCAGAGCTCGCAAACACATGTAGTTGATCATGTGCATACTTTTCACGCTGAGTCCGCATGATGGAATTCATGCGATAATGAACAAACACCAAGATTCCATCCTCTCCAGCTGTGACGAAATATAGTTGACGAATTTATGGTATCAAAGTATTCGACTAGCATCACATTTCACTGACCCTGTGACGAGTGTGATACAGTCGAATCGAACATATTTTCAATATAACAATAGAATCTAGTATCCATTTTTTCATAAACCAGTAGGAGCCAAAGCAAAGCAGCAGTTATTCACTTTACTGTCTAGCTGTGACGGAATATAGTTGACGAAATTATGGTATTAAAATATTCGACTGGTATACCATGTCACTGACCCTGTGACGAATGTGATACAGTCGATTTGAACTTATTTTCCAATACAACAATAAAACGGAGAACAGCGGGTACGTGAGACGAGCCTTGGAATAGACTTACTGCATGAGGTCGTTGAGGTCGACTGCCCACTGTGATATCGTTTTCAACGGCGACTCAGCGAACAATGGAGGTGGGGTCACGCCTCTGAACACAATACATGTCCCAATTGCGATTACCAAGGCCGACGTACCTCCACCATTGGAAGGCTCTAACTACTGTGAATAGAACTAGAGGCGCATGGAAGATGAAGGTCAATTTGAACAGAATCAATGATTCACCGACTGAATAAAATGAACCCACTGAAAAGCAAGTCGTCGTGGACGAATAACTCACCAGCAAAGGCAAACGTCCGAGAGTTCACATGGAGTATCCTCGTCGAGATGAAGCCCCAGGCTTTATTATCACCAACTTTGGCGGCCGCCTTCTCCATGAGATTGTACCTTAGAAAATGCGCTATCTCATAGTAATGATAATTCTTCATCATACTACTCCTACATCGACACAGAAAACCGCTTCAGAATAGAAGGAGTCTCTCGGTGTTGACTCCGACCGTTCTGAAAACGCTGCTGTTGTTGCTCCCCAGTCGAGCCTCCGGATGATTGGTGGTTTCGTCCATTGTGGGAGTGATGCCCATTGGCCCACTTTCGAGGGCCGAAATTGGTACTACGCTGGAATTTAATACGATCAGCTAAGGGCTCGTATCTAGAGAGATACAACTACTAGGAGTCGCCCCTTGGATGAGTTTACTCCATCTATTTTTCTATTGCATCTTCAAACGCATTCGAAAAGACGCTACTTTTAGATTTTAGTGAAAATACGAAGGTGGGAATAGACTTATAACGCACGGAGAGAATCGCTTCAAAATTGATGCAGGCGAATAGCTCGCGTGCTAATCTTGGTGTAGGAAGAAGCTATTCTATGGAGTCCACGCGTACCTCTCATTAGCCCAAGAAAATACTCGTCTCCGATGCTCGATCAACCGACCGCGTTGCCTCTCTCGCCATACACCGGACCGAGCCAGTAGCTCAGGATAGAAGTGATACCAAGTCCTGCAATGGAAGACATCTTCAGTGTGTGTCACCACAAACAAGCGACACTGTGGTGACACGCGGAAATTAGGAGAGAAAAAATGGAAAATATGCAAAAAATGGAAAATTGTCAACGAGATCCAAAGTTCGGATTCCGAACTAAAGCGCCATAGTATTCCTCAGTAGCCCTTATCACCTCCGTAGTGGTTGATACCGCATGCATATGCCAATCATAGTAAACCATGTTATGTATTTACCAGCCACAAAGCATCCAATAACCTTGGGTATATCATCCGGTACTAGTCCCTGCTTTCCTAGGTATACCGTTAGTCTGTCCTTCAACCCCATTCTACACCTAGTGAGTAGTAGTAGCAGTAGACACCGTTGTCGAGTATGTAACAAAAACTCTGATAAAGTGAGTTGGCAGCAAAGTTTGGTAAAAGCAGTTTGT